AGGCCGCGCCAGGTCGCGCCAGGCCAGCCAGACCGGTGCCCGGGGGGGGACCAACTTGGTAAGTTGTTGCCTGGGGGCTTGCCTAGTTGTCACGAGGTGCCAYGTGTCGCAATTTCACTGGAGGGCCAAATCTGCCCTCATCAATAACTATTATTATTGATTTTCCATAAGTTAAATATCGTAATATTCTTTAATTTCAGTTATTTATTTTAATATTCTTAGTAGTTAGTTATTAATATTATTTTTGTATTTTAATATTTCTAAGTTTTAATTACTAAAAATTATAACTTTTAGTAATTTCATTTAATTTTTTTCACATCATATTTTATATTTTTTGTGGCCTAAAATGAAAAAAAATTGAAATAAATAACTAAAAAATATTAATTCATATTTTTCGTAATTACTTTAAAATCAACTAATAATTAATTCAAAATTAAAAAATATTTAAATATACTGAAAATTAGATAATTCTGAAAAATATTATAAAATTACTGAAAATGTTAAAAATACTAAAAATGCATAATATTTCTGAAAATTAAAAAACATAAAAAAGGTAACAAAATGTAAATAATGGAAATGCACGTTAATTTAAGTATAATTCTGAAAATTATTATAAAATTATAAAAAATATTGAAAATTATTATTTACGTAAATTTACGATGTGGCTAACAATTAGTATATAATTTTGATACTTTTTATCATCAAATTTGAAATTGCATTGAGATCGTCACTAGTGTGTATATATATATACACACACCCCGAAAGGGAGAAGTACACTATAGTCCAATTCAGATTTCTGAAATTACAGTCCCCAGAGTCTACTAATAGCCCACCTATAAAGCGCATCCTGTCCGTAGATTTTGCATTAATCCATGGTCAAGATTCTTCCCTGTATGATACGGTGGGGGTAAAGAATTCTGAGTTGGGCTAATCACTCATTCTCCCAAATATATATGATGAGAAAGAAGATAATATCGAAAGATGTAGAAAAAGTAACACCCTCCACTGTTACTCGGATCTCTCCCTCTCCCTCTCCCTCTCGTTCTCTTCGTCGTAACTGTCAAAACCACCAGAGCTGTACATCGAACAACAGTAAGACTCCTCCAGTTACACCAAAACTATAGATCTCTCATAACCACCGCTCTTCTCTAGAACTGCAGAGGTTGGCGCCCCTCTCGTTCTCTTCGAAACCGCTGCAACCGCCGCTCTTCTCAATAATCGGCGCTCCCCTTTTCTTCTCAAAGCATGCACACTCAAATCATCACCATGACGCCGACAAGGACAGAACTGTAGATCTCTTAGAACCATCGCTCTTCTCAAGTGCTCTTCTCCGGAACTGCAGAGGTCGGCACCCCTCTTGTTCTCTTTGGAACCACTACAACCAATGCTCTTCTCATGAATCGCCACTCCCCTTTTCTTCTAAAGCATGCACACTTAGATCATCACCATGACGCTGGCGAGACATCCCCTTTTCTTCTCCGTCGCTCTTCTCCCGAATCCCATTACATTGGTCTACATCAGAGACCTTGTGAATGCGCAGAATGCTTACTAGCAACTTCCCGGAGGAGATCGATGAGTTGATATTTGGAGAAAGGTTCTAGGAGCGTATGGACTGGCTCTTCGGTATCATCATCATCTTCGTCGACACCATCTCCATCAGTGTTTTCTGCTGACACCACATCCCGTTCAGCCATCTCCTCAATCGAAGACCCCTTCAGGTGCTTCTTCTAAAGCACACCCATCACCCATCCTACGAGTTCAACATCAGGCAACGGGTTTTGGTTGGAGGAAGCTGTGTTTATTTTTGTCTCTCTACTATCACTTCCGTTGGATTGGATTAGGTTAGGCAACTAGAGCTTTTTCGCTGGAGAGTCTCAATTTTGATCGCAAAGAAGAGATCCTGAGACTCTTCAGGTTTTGATTTTGATCCTGGATAGGAGAGAAGTAGAACAGAAAGAGGGCTTTCTTATAGTTTTGACTTAATTTTTGGGTGTTCTTTTCTGATTTTTCTGCTTCTTTTTCTGTTGATTCATTCTTTTATAGACAACATAGCAAAATATTCTTCTGAAAACAATGAAGACTACACAATTATCTTCTGATGACTTTGGATATTCAAAGGCTTGGCCTCCTGGGTTCCGATTCCACCCCACCGATGAGGAATTGATCCTCTATCTAAAGAGGAAGATGTGTCAACGTCAATCCAATTCAATGTAATCGCAAAAATCGACCCCTACAAGTGGGATCCTAAAGAATTACCAGGTATCATCATATTCTCTCTCCCGTCTCTTTCTTATTTCTCTGTATTTTTCTTGTAAGGTCGATCGAGTTGAGACTGTTGACTTTGGTTGTATTGGGATTTACTCAAATTGACCATAGGTTTCCCTTTCTTGTTGATCTACCCTTTATTGTTACTATTTGTGTTTTGGTATCCAGGATCTTTAATTATTACTCTTACCATTAGAATCTTTGGTTGGGAGAACTTGATCGATGGCTTTACCAATCAAAATGTTTTTTTTTTTTTTTACTCAATTGCAGAGGTCAGAGGTGGGAATGGATATTTTCGAGACTTTTGATAAATATATTAGTCACATGATATCACATGTAACAGAAAGTTAACCAATGCTAAGGGTAAGGATGGAATTAGTCAATCTTCAGAAACTGTAAGGGTAGCATTAATCAATTTTTAATCAGTAGTACACTTGGTAAATTAGCTAAACCAAAAGAGTAGTTTAAGAAATTTACCCTTAGGGGGTGTTATTTTTTCGGATTTTGAGAGGTGGAAAGTTGGTCAATGGATTTTGGATCTCATTGACCAAGAATCCCATTTATTTTTTCAGATTTATGTAGGGATCAGGGAAATTTTATTTTTCTAAGTATCACCTTGATGGATAAATAACTTTTCCACATAGGAATAAAGTTGTCTACACTTGAATGAGACAAAAATTCTCTTTTTAATATATATATATATATATATATATATATATATATAAGTAATGAAATCAAGTCTCCCTTAATCAGACACTTGGCAGCCCTATAGCAAGACAAATGTCCTCCCATTAATTTGCAAAATCAAGCTTCCAAATTTTGTGAGAAAAAAGTAGACACGTCCTCCTATTAATTTGCAAAATCAAGAACCATCTGAGTAGTGGCCTTCCAAATTTTATGAGAAAAATTAGACACCTGTCAACAATCAGAGAAGTGGCCATTTAAGAACACAGCCCATAACCATGCAAACTCATGTGTCATTCGAACTCTTCTTTACAAAAAGTGAAGAGTGCGACGCTCCCACTCTCTATCGGTTCCTAAAAAAGGAGAATAAGATACATTTAAATGTTTGCATCTCAGACACATCTCCAACTCTGAGAAATATACAACCCATAGAACTCTGCAACTTAAAGATTCAATCTAACAGAAACATAAACTTTCTGCTCATTCAACGTGTCTATCAAATTCTCAAGGAATCTCCTTTGTGAATCTGCGACTTTAGAGAAGCCTGGAACTCACAAAACTCTCAAGGTCTCTGACAAACTCTCATGTCTGCTATTCAGAGAATTCTGGAACAACTCTGCTACTCAAATAACTCGTAACTTCAGCATTGGTGCTGCATTGAAGGTCCCGGTTCAGTTACCTTCCAATCGGTTAGTGTATTATCATGCTATAATTTTTATTAGTGTTTCAATAGTTGTTTAATGCTTCTTCTATTATCTGTGTGTCTTCAAATACATTAATTAAATATTAAATAGGAATCAATATTTATTAACAGTCTTTCAAATTGTTAAGCCAAATCATTAATGTTTGTTCTTAAATGCAAAATATGAATTAATAATAATAAAAATAATGATAAAAATACCCTCAACTAATCTGGCAACCTTAGGGGTCATTCACTAATTTTAAATAAAAGAAAATGATTGACAGAACTTATCCAATTATACCCGGTAAGTTACCGAAAACGTGGCGTTAATAATACCCTCAACCAATCTGGCAACCTTATTGATGATTGGTTACATCCACCGGACGGTCCGGACCATTTCCTCATTTTCATATATATATATGTATATCAGCACTCTTTTCAAGAAATTATTAAGTGGGGCTGTGGGGGCCTGATGGCAGCCTGAACCCTGAAGAGCGAAGAATCAAGCGTGAAGCGTCCCTGGAGGCCGGAGCCCCTAAAAGCAATTATTAACCAACGGAAGAAGAGAAAGGGGAGGAATCGGACAATATGGGTATCTCGGCTGCCATCGGAGACGCAGAAGCGGAAAAATCACTGCTTCTGACAACTAACACCAGCGGCAACGACAAGGTCCCAAAGGACACCTTCCACTTAGCCTACATCATCTACTTCACCCTGGGTACGGGTTTCCTTCTCCCATGGAACGCCTTCATAACCGCCGTCGACTACTTCACCTACCTCTACCCGGATGTTAGCGTTGACCGCGTCTTCGCCGTCGTGTACATGCTGATCTGCCTCTTCTGCCTCCTCGTCATCACTGCTTACGCCCACAAATCCGATTCTTTCATCAGGATCAACATCGGCCTTGCTCTGTTTGTTGTGTCGCTGATCATTGTGCCAGTCATGGACGTGTTGTACACTAAGGGAAGGAGGGGATTATATGACGGATACTATGTTACGGTTGGTGCGGTTGGCCTTTCTGGAGTGGCTGATGCCTTGGTCCAGGGTGGGGTTATTGGGTCTGCTGGGGAGCTCCCAGAGAGGTACATGCAAGCTGTGGTTGCTGGAACGGCTGCTTCTGGTATTACACTACTACTGCTTCTTTTTACGAGTCTAATTTCTGCTTCTGGTATTGTATTTTTCTGCTAATTTCCTGGTTTTCTTGTCTTTCATTTTTTTTTGTAAACGTCTTCATTAGTCTAACGGATCAACATACAGATGCTTTTCTTTCCATATAGAGGATTTGCTTGCTCTTTACATGCAATATATGGTAGATTATGAACTTATGTGATTCCTAATTCCTAATGATATATGATAATATTAGCGGGGCTTAAATAGAAATTTTGTTAGATTTGGGTTCAATGCTCTGCCAGACACGAAAAATTTGTCAAATTCCCAACCCAAGTTGGTGCCATATTTGGGTTGGCGAATTTGAGTTTTAACATGGGGGAAGAATTACAAACATCTTTTAATTGTTGTATTACATTTTTTATAATTTAATTAAAAATAGATATCTACATGAGTGAAAAATGAGAGGAGCAGGCCCCTCACCTACCCTTTTTCGTCTTTCTTATATAGATATAGATATAGGTACATGCTCAAAATGATCCCATAGTCCAAAAAATTTCTCTAATGGTATGTGCTCGGAGCACCTGTTACATGTCCCCTGTTGTGTCAAATTGGTGCCTTGTTTTGATTTTTCTTGTTTTTTTGTGCCTTTTGAGCTCCTCCTTGTATTACAGAAAATACTTCTATTTAGATTAATTTTTATTTCTTTTTTCAATTTGAGTATTGTTAATGTGCTGGGTCGTTGTTCTTACTCGCAAGGATCAAAATTTTGATATGATACACCCATATCGGGCGTATTGTATTTTATATTTTGGGTCCCGATACACTTGTTATAGTTAAAAGTACCAATACACCTCTGCCGATACAGAGGTGTATCGATACTTTGAACCTTGCTCATTCATTAGGAAATTTAGTGTGAGATTTGAATACCGAGTCAAATTGGTGGCTTCTTTTGGTTTTTCTATTGATTTTCTGATTCGTAAACTGCTCCTGGAAGGCATTTTAATTTTTAAATGTGTTGTGCTAGTGATATGTGTTGAGTTAAACTGGTATCTCCCCCCCCCCTGATTTTTCCTTTTTTCCTTTTGAGGTTTTGTGACATTGGTGCTCAAAATGATCGTATGATGGTCGATTTTTTAATTGTTAAGCTCCTATTCTCTTATGTGTAGAAAGAAAACTGTGGCAACAGTTCTGCTGTTTGTTTGGGGGGGGGGGCTCTTTGTGCTTTATATTGGGCTCCGTTTGGTTTGTGGGTGGGATGGGAAAGTGTAAAAACTTGCACTTCCATTGTTTGGTTTTATATATGGGAAAATAATAAGAAAAACACTGTTACGAGCTGGTTCTTCGCCGGATTCATGTAAGATGAAGAACAGAACTCCATGACTGCAGCGGTGGTCAGAGAGAGAGAGAGGGAAAATGAGGGAATGAGAGAGAGATAGGAGTGCTAAGAAAGCAGATCGCCACTGCTGAGAGTTGCAGCGGCAATCAGAGAAAGGGAGGAAGACGGGAAGAATAGGAAGAAGAAGAAGGTGAGGGAGGAGAGAGAAGAGGAAGATGGAGGGAGAGACAGTATCTGGTGAAGATCGCTGCTGCCCCTCGCAGATCCCTGACTCCGCAGATCACCGCTGCCCCTCGCAGAAGAGAGAAGAGAAAGGGAGGAAGATGGGAGGAATAGGAAGAAGAAGAAGGTGAGGGAGAAGAGAGAAGAGGAAGATGGAGGGAGATCGCCACAGATCCCTTGTAGATCGCCACTGCCCCTTGCACTGGTTCCTTGCCAGCATCTGGTGAGGAAGAAGACCAATAACAATCAGTTCAATGGTAACAGTGGTTTCTCGAGTTTTTCCACCGGGGTCTCACGGTTTTGGTGCGACCCCGATTCCACGATTTCGGGATCTGACATCCCACATTTTTCTCATCCCATCCTTCTATTTCCCTCAAAACAAATGAGAGAAAAAGGAATATTTTTGGAATATTCCCTTTTTCTCATCCCCATCCCACAAACCAAACAGAGCCTTGGGGAACCAGGCAAGAGCACAGATGCCATATTCAATAGAAACATTACCTTCCCACCTTCTGAATTCTTAGAAAAGCATGGTAGCTGATGAAGTATGTATGAAATTGCATCTATTCCTAAATGGTGATTTGTGAAGGATATTGGGGAATTATTTTATATTTTTTTTGATAATTGAATGGTAATTTATTCAAAGATAATAAGGTGATGTTTCAAAACAGACTGCCCGTGGAGAGGCACAAGCTAGTTTACACTGCTAAAATGAATCAGATGGATCATTGTTGAAATCATGATCCAGATGAATAAGGCGAAGCCCTATATGGTGGCATTTGGAAACTTTCTGAGCATGGCTTCTCTGTAGATCTGTTAATGATATCATCAATAAGGAGGTTACTTGCTCATGAATCTTGAATCTTGGTTCAAGTTTATCTAAGTTGCTTATTATGGTCTTTTTAAAGCATGGTAGCTGAGTAATATTCTATCAACTTTCTTGAGTTTGGTGTTTTTTCTTTCTAGAAGTAATTCCTAGAAGCACAATTGTCAGATTAGGGTATTCATTTTTCTTCGAGATGTGATGGTTGAAACCCTCTTAGAGTGATTTGAGATCAACTTAACAAACTCTTACTTGATTGTTTGGGGCCACTACACATCCTGTGTTCCATTACAGCACTCAACCAAAAGCTGCTTCTGTCAATTGTAAGCCCTCAAATTATTTGTCATTATTTATTGTCAAAATTTGAACCCGCATCCTCTTCAGCAATGTTTTTGCTCCTTTAGAGGCTTTGTCCTGCACAAAGTCAGTTTTCATCAGTGCAGTCATTGGTAACTTTGGATCCAAGAGTGCTCTTCTGTTGTAGGCAATATTTAAAAATGTAGAGATGGGAAACAAGGTTCCAGGGCCTTTAGATGCATAAGACCTATGTGTCATCATTTACCATTTTTCAAAGAAAAACATCAAACTACTGATGAAGGTCTTGAAAGAAGGGTGTGAGTTTCTGCTGTTGGGAAGGGTTTTGGTTTGGGTGCCTGATTGTTTTGTTTTTGGAAAGAGGGGAGATAAGCTATATGTAGGGGTTCTGGCTTTGATTTGGGTCTGTCTGCAGCAGGTTTTTTGAGTTTAATGTTTTTTGTTTTGTTTAAGGGCTTGTCTAGAAGTTGGGGTGGGTTGGTTATGATGGGTTTTCGGGTGATAACCTTGTCACCTTCTGTATTATCTGCTGGTTGTTTTCTAATAAATTTTCTTCTTTATTTATCTTCAAAAATAAAAAGAAAAACATCAAGCTAAAATGAGTATGGAAATATGCATGAGAGGAGTATATTTTATGTAAGAAAAGCAAATAAATGATTAGAGGATCACATAAATATCAAATAAGAATATTAGAAACCATAGGAAATCAATCGCATACTTAGAAAACATGTAATGATTATTAAGAAGCACTAAATTGTTAAGTAATATTTTAAATGGCTTTAAATATGTTAAGAACCATAAAAAATCTCAGCAAATCAAAGTTTGTTTTTCTTATTTTTTCCTATTTGGGAGGATTATTTGTGAGAAATGCTATGATATTTAAGAAAACTAGACAGCTATATGCTAGTAAGGGCCTCTTCGTTTGCTTGAAGTCTGACATCTGAAAGTGTAATAATTACATTAAGAGGTATATTGGTATTGGTGAACTTTTCTTTGCTCTGAACTCTGAATGCAGAGAATGTTATTCTGAATTCTGAAAACTATCAAATATCCATTTTGACCCCATATATAGGAGTTTTTGTTTGTCTTTTTGGGGGTATCATTGGAAAACAAAAAGTTGTATGATTGCAATTTAATAGATAAGAGATAAGAGGAAACAAACAATCAATTTTCTCTTAAAATTAAAAGATTCTTCTGAACAGATAAGAGTTAAGAGGAAACGAACAGGCCCCAACTCTGGTGTTATGAAATCTCCACTTGTTACTTTTATGTATCACCTATGCATGCCTTGAAGCTGAACTGAAGTTAATTTGCTGATTCAACTTTTTTTCTTGATCGAAGAGATAATTGTTGCTTACACAAAATGTTCTAAGATCAGCATATATTTATCTCCTGAGAACTCAAAAATACGTATTCAAGTACTTAAGGCTTCAATCAGACTGAAAAGAATTACTATGGACTGCAATTCTCTTCAAAATCTTCTAGGATTACAATTTTGTGTTTACCAAAATTGTTCAATCACAAGATTATTACTTGTCAGAAAAAAAAAGAACAGTTCAATCACAGGATTGTTGTGAACTGAATTAAATTATCATGGCAGATTATACTGAATAACCCTTTAATAAATGAGTGCAGGGGTTCTTGTTTCAATTCTGAGGATCATAACCAAAGCCATGTTTCCACAGGATCCCCATGGTCTCAGAAAAAGTGCAATCCTTTACTTCATTGTTGGTATTGTGGTTATGGTCATATGCATTGTTTTCCACAATGTAGCACACAGGCTTCCAATTATTCAATATTACAAAGATATAAAAACACAGGCTGCACTTGAGGAGGAAAATGAGGAAGGTTTCACGAGTGGGTCTACCTGGAGATCAACCTTGTGGGACATTATAGGGAGAGTCAAGTGGTTTGGGTTTGGGATAGTCCTTATCTACATTGTGACATTGTCAATATTTCCAGGATATATTACAGAAGATGTGCACTCACTGATCCTAAAAGACTGGTATCCAATCCTTCTCATTAGTGCCTACAATGTGTTTGATCTCATTGGCAAGTCCTTGACTGCAGTGTACCTCCTTGAGAATTCAAAGGTTGCCATTGGCGCCTGTGTTGCAAGGCTGCTATTTTACCCACTCTTCTTAGGCTGCTTGCATGGTCCCAAGTTTTTTCGAACAGAGATTCCAGTCACACTGCTAACGTGCCTTCTTGGCTTGACGAATGGCTATTTTACAAGTGTTTTGATGATTGTGGCGCCCAAGACTGTCCAGCTACAACATGCTGAGTCTGCAGGTTTTGTGATTGTACTGTTCTTGGTTGTTGGCTTAGCAATTGGTTCGGTGGTAGCTTGGTTTTGGGTCATCTGATCGCTTAGCAATTTGTAATGTCTTTCAAACCCCCAACCCAGTGTAAGGTGGATGGGGGAACTGTCAGTGATTGCAAGGTTCCTATTCCTGGATCCAGTTTTAATTTGTAAATCCATGACACCACCTATTTTAACAAGTTAATCTACTCATGAAACACGAGTGGTTGCTGTATAAGAAATAATGTATAGATTGGGTTTGCACTTTACACCACATAGCAATGTAAGATTAGGGAGATGATGCCAAGATGGAGTACAATTGGCACGGGTGATGGTAAAACATGTAGTGCATTACAATCTTGTCCGATTGTTAGTGGCGGCTACACAGGACAATCTAAATAGTTGGATGACTCGGATCTGTTGCCTCTGTTGCATTGGTTGAAGCATTGGTTGTTCATATACAGAAGGGGGGAGGGGGGCGGATTGAGACATTAACAAGTTGAGACTTCGCATGATTTTTTTTTACAGAAACACTATCCATTGCATGGATTTTGTTTTAGGTAAGCAATCAATATCCTCTTCTGGTCACGTAGTTAACTTCCGATTAATAGAGGCAATTCGAAGCTAGGACGTGTTGAGGGTGTTGGAACAGTCGGATCAGCTGTAGGCAAGGTTCAAAATATTGATACGTTTAATATGTCGGTATGTGTATCATACAAATCGATACTATTTTTTTAATTTTTTTTTGAAACCAGTTCAGAGAGGTCGGTTTAGGATTCCTCCATCCCCTGAACTGGTCAAAACCCCCCAATACACCCACTGTAGGAGTGTATTGGAAAGGTCCCAAAATGATACGTATTAGTTGATACGTCTTAAAATTGGCTTAGTAGAATAGAGTTTGGTTATTAAGGTTGTTGTCAACGAGCCACCACTCGCATTGTGCCCCTATAGGGGCTGTAGTTCACTTTCTTGGCTTTACTTTTTCAGCAACTATTACTTTTCTCCAAATGGTGGTGGAAACCGATAGCAGGGCTCGAAATCGCATTTATTCTAGGACTACCCAGTTTACGTACCACCTGAACCACCACTCGGTAAACAAAAAAAGATTGACATGCAGTGCGAAAAACGTCCATTATTCAATATAAAACTCAATTCTCTCAAAGAATCTTATGACTATAAAACTCGCATCTTTTAAAACCAACCCCATAATGAAATCATTATTTAATCCTGATAGTAGGTAAGCAATTCATCCGAGTCAAATAGATCAATTCATGCTGCAATTAAATAATAAAATTTTTAAAATACAAACAATATAAATAAATAAATAAACTGTAGAAAAATTGAACACATTTTTAATATTTTATATAAACCATATTAAAAGAAAATAAATGACAAACAAAAATTGTCATGGAAATGAGAATACAAAATTTAAAACAAACTCAAAAATAAAATTATTTTCCTATTAATTGGTGCATCAATAGTTTAGCCTTTTGAGTAAAATGTCCTAACCCTTGAAATACAAAAATTTTGCAAAGACAAAAAAATATGAAAAAATATGGAAATTTTGTAGAAAGCAATTGAACACATTATTAATATAACATATTTATCATATTAAACAAAAATAAAATTTATTTATATACGTATAGAAACAAAAAACAACTGTCATTATTACTAGCATCATCTTCTAAAATTGCCACATAAAAGCATGTGGACATTTGCTATCATGCAAGAAAGCTCTATGAAGTAAAATATAATATGAAGATCAGTAATGTGTCTCGCTGCAAGAGAATAACATGCATACAAACAGAGACTCGAGTCTCAATCACTCTTAAATCTTAATATGGGACTTCTACCATCACCATACAGCATCCTATTTTTTCAAAGCAAGATGTACACTGCCTACCTTTGGTGAATTAGTGGAAATACCACCACCAATACATTGAAGAGGAGCAGAGCTTTATCCACAGTAATGGGCAGATAATCTCAGAATCACTCATGCAGTAATCTCAACATTAAGCAAAATCCTGAGTCACTGAGAGCATATGAAAGTGCAAAGGGAATTAACTTTTCAGTAACTTAGTAGACAATCTCGAAACTTCACTCCTGAAATATCAATAAAAAAAGTAAACGTATTTTATTCAGTTACGACATGAGATTCCAGTGGAAGATTGGAAAAAGAAAACACAAAATCTGTATATGAAATAATAGAATTAGCTGTACTAGCTATTGCTTCCATTTCAAAAAGAATGGGCAATCCTACTGCCAAGGTTTAAAGTTTAAAGTTTAAAGTTTCATAGCCAGCATACATATTTCACCCCACATTCATTTTTTGGACATTATGTTTCTTGACTGCCCAACATTCTGATCCATGCAGCATAGCTGGTCTTACAACAGTTTTATAAACTTTCCTTTTAATCTAAGTGCTATTCAATTATCAAATAAGATTCCAGGTGCACCCCTCCATTTTGCCCATCATACTCCAATTTTATGGGCAACATCCTCCTCCATCTCTCTGTTGTTATGAATTATCGAACCAAGATACTTGAAAATGTCACACCGAGTTACTCTTCATCTCCAATTCAAGTGTATGCTGATTTATACTCCAAGTATTATTAAAATTTTTACCAAAAAAATTATTACTGAACTTACATATCATATTATCTTTTTTCCTGATACATTGTCATATATTCAATTTAGTCATACTTATTATAGGGTCCGTTTCATTTGCAGTCAAAATCGAAATTGGAATTGAAATTCCTTGGAATCAGAATCGGAACCAAAATTGGCCGGAATGGATTCTCATTCCCAAGGGAGAGGGAGGGAATGACCATTCCCTCAGATGGGGGAATGCCATTCCACAAGGAATATGAATCAGATCCCGATTCCACCCAACCAAACAGTGGAATTGGACTTCCAGCTCCTATTCCCACAAACCAAATGGAGCTTTAAAACTTCTTGTTTGATTGTTTCTAAGGTATTTGTCCATAAAACTTTTTGCATTTAATCATTCATTAGTTTCATCAATAAATCATCAAACAACATGCACCATAGGACCCCTCTCTTGAATATGTTTAGTCAATTCAGATATGACCTTTGCAAATAAACAAGGGCCAAGTATTGAGCTTTGATGAAGACCCATCTCAACTATAAAATCTGATGTCTCTCACATAGGTGTTCGAGCATTGGTTGTTGCACCCTCATACATATTCTTAATTGCATCTATATACCTATTGAGAACACCTTTCTTTTCCAAGATCCACCATATTATCTCTCTAAGAACTTTACCAAATGCTTTTTGTAGATCGATGAACACCATAAGATCTCCTCTTCTCTCTAAACTTTTCTAGCAATTGTCTTAAAAGAAAGATAGCTTCCGTGGTGGATTTCCGTAGCATAAAGCTGTAAACCCAAATTGGTTCTTTAATATACTTGTTTCATGTTGTACCCTTTGCTCTTGCAAATTTTCACAATATGGCTCATGACTCATGAGTTTAATCCCCTGACAGTTTATTACAACTTTATATATTGCCTTTGTTCTTAAATATAGGTTCTATACTACTCTTTCTCCACTAATCAGCATACTTTTTCTCCTCTTTTCTTTTGACATCTTATTAAATAGCTAAATTAACCACAACAAGCCGACCTCTCCCATTCCTTCCCACACTTTTATTGGAATACCATCAAGTCCTAAAACATTTCTCTTCTCCATCTTATTTAGTGCCTCTTTCACTTTTAGTTATAATTTCATGAAGGCACGTGTTATTTTTTCACTATCAATGTTACTAATCTCTCCATTAGTGCCCTCTACATGTTCATTTGATAATTTTTTAAAATAGTTTTCCATCTTTCCTTGGTTTCCACATATTTTACCAAGATGCTTTGATATTCCTCTTTAATACACTTAACATAGCCTAATATATGGTAAAACTCATTTTTTAATCAATTTTGTGATCAAACTCATCATATTCCTTAAATTTAACTTTGGGTTCCTTCTTTTTAACTTCCTTTTCCGTTCAAATTTTCGTAAAATGTCCCTTGCTACTTTCTTTATGCAATTTGCCATTCCAAGTCACAGATCATTAGTTTTTTCATCTAAATTACAATTTCCTTGCATTATTTTGTTTGTAAACTGTGCTAATTTTACTCCTTTTTGATCCTCCCACCAAATTTTCAAGGCTCCAAGGCAAAACTAGGCGTTGGGGTGGGGGTGGGGGAACCTTGTCACCTAGGCAATGGAATGTTTTTTACATAAAAGCAATGAATTCTAGGGTAATTCCCTAGGTTTCAATAGCAACCAGCAACCATCTTCATATTAAAACATAGAAGAAAAGAAAATGTAGAAAATATAGGGCTAAGCCCCTTTTTTTGTCTAGGAAAAGGGAAGAAAGGATGGAAAAATAAAGAGAAGAAGAATGTTTATTGGACATAATTTTAAGCTCTTCCTTGTTGATTCAGGTTCTTAAGTCTACAAAGGCTTAAGACAGACAATAATAAAATTTTCATTATAATATCAAAAAAAAAGAATATAAAAGGTTTTCATAGTGGCATGTACAAAATAGGTAGACCATCAAGCAAGGCAACCATTTAAAAGTGCCTTCTCTCATAGGCAGGTGCCTAGGCATCACCTTGACAACCATGATTCGACTTATGTTTTATCCACTTTTAAAAGTTATCAGTGTTCATCTTTCTTTTTGAAAAATGTGTTCAAATTTGTCATATCATAAACTAATGCAAATTAAAGATTGTATCTCATGTTCCATTCCCCTTCTCAAACCCAAATCCTCCATGTACCACATCATATCCAATACTTTTCCCTACACATCCATATAAGTTCTATAAAAAAAAGATCTTCCCATTTAGTATTTGTTCGGTTAACCCTTCTAAGTTTTTCAAAATTGTTTTTTTAATGATTTCTAAAAAACCCACTTGAGGTACATAAGAACTAAATATGTTAATGATTTCCCCACCTAAAACAAGTATAATTAAAATTAGTCTATCTCCAATGGTTTTAACATTTATAATTCCGTTTTATAGATCTTTGTCTACTATCAAAAAAATATCTAGAATGCCAACCATGAATGAACCATCCCCAATACTTTTTGTTCAAGACTTCTTCCTTTGAGCACTGTTTGCCTTCAAAAATTCTACTATTTCTCTCACTCCATATAGCCTAAAATACTGCTGCAGGAATGAAGCTCCATGCAAACTTTCCAGCCTTACTTAAACCCCCTAGATACCATGCCTCTCCATGAATTCCTTCACATCCACTGGGAAGAAAAGCTTTACCCCAAATAAGTCCAACAATCTTGTCTAGATCCATTGAGAAAAATCACAGTGGACCAGCAAATGCCCAGATGACTCCACATTTTCGATCCATAAGGGACACACCATATCTGCCACTTCTAAACCTCTTTTACCAACTCTCTGAAGATGGAAGAAAATATGTGATAGAAAGCAAGGTAAACTCTAAAGGGTCTTTCATATCACTAACAGAGTACTTTGGTAAGGGAAAGTATCAGATGGTCTACTTCCCAGAGGGAAGGCAGAGTCTTGGATGGAAGGAGATAAGTGGGGCTTTGGGAGAAATACTGAAATGGAAGATAGAAAAACAAGAAGGTTCAACAGAGGCGAAAAAAACAAAGAAACAGATAACTCTTATACAAGTCAAGTTAAGATGGACAAGCAAGAGTTTCTTGTAGTGGCGAATAGTGCAGGGAGACAAAAAATAGGAGTGAATCTAAAGAAAGAAGATTGGGAAAAGAAACTTGTAGCTAGCTCCTGGGTAAAGGATTGAAAAGCAGTTGCAGATCTGTTAATAGTAAGGCTGAAGCTGAAGAAAAACTTCATTTTAACACCCTTTGAGAAATTAAGGCAGTGCTGGATTTGCTTGAAGATAGAGTGGAAGTCAGGGCCTTAAACATCCAGTCCAATATTGGAAATTTCACAATCTCAAGTTGGAGTCCAGGATCAAACTCAAGAGACATCTTTGTAGAAGATGGGGTTCTAGTGAGACTGTTGGGCCTGCCTTTTCACCTGTGGAGGCAAGAAATTGCTGAATCGATTGCACAATTGTGTGGTGCAACCCTTCTTGGTGCTTACTGGGGAGATCTCCACTTTGCAGCTATCAGTCTAAGTGGAGTAAAACCAGAGAAGATACCATGGAAAGTGGAGCTGAGGGTGGAAGGGCAGGTTGTTTCAGTTTGGCTAGCATCAGCAATTGAAGCTCGGCTCTAGAGAATAGCATGCAGATAGGGAAATGAGAAGGTTGAAGAAGAAGCTCTGTGTGGCACTAGAGGATTGGTGGAGTCAAATGTAAATGGACCTTGCACCAAAATGAAAGCTAAAGAGCTGGGGAGACCAAAAGACAGGCAACAGGAGGGCTTTCTTAAGCATGTAGCTGAAGGCAACCAGCTGACAGGTAGCTGGAGCTATGCGCAGGTGGTTTCAGGCGCCAACCAAAGAGGGTTTAAAATAGGGGAGGAGTTGGTCCAGGGAAAGTCCAAAGCAGCTGGGCCAGTTGTAGGCCTAAACCAGAATGTGTCTAGTTCTAGTAAAGAGGGCTTACAGGTGTCCAAAGATGGGCCTATGAAAAAGCCCATTGCCCAAGACTTATCAAGTGGGCCAAATGGTAAACTGGCCCAAGTGAGTGGCTTAGACTTGAGTAAGTAACGTAACCTTTTTTTTATTTTTAAAGTCACATGAAAAGTCACACAGTTGAACAGTTGGGAAAGAAAGTGGCCCAAGTGATGTGCCCTTTGTTTGTTGCAACTTTATATACCAATATACAACGGATTGTAAGAAAAATTGCAAGAATTTCTCCACTACATTATTTTGTTTTATACGTCTCTTTATTTTAATAATATTTGATAACAAAAAAACTGAAACTTATAGAAGCTGCATGCTTGGGTATACCAGGCATGCACCTTTTAGAAGGGACATCACTTGAGTTCAGGAAAGGTGCATGCCTTAAATTTATCTTGTCTATGTGCGCAAGGCATGCCACTTAAAATAAGTACATTTCCAAGGGTCCTCTACCATGACTTCCCCCCCGACTCATGACCACATCCACATATTCCAATAATATCAAAATTAACACCTATTTT